AAGATCGACTTCAATAATCCGCTTTCATAATTTTAATTACTTACTTTGATATTCCGAATTCGTATTCATATTCATTCAACCTACCTAAAAGGTACAAAAATTATATATAACTTCGTCATTAATACTCTCATCAGCTATTTAGAATCCACAACTTTTTAAATAGAGCTTATTGAACAATTTAAGCTGACCCGTTAATTTAAGAAAATATTTCAATAAGTGCCAGAATAAGATCAAGATAACCATGCCATATTTATGTTCTTGTACCAATGAGATACCAACTTAGTAAGCATGGGAGTTATGTTGGTTTGTGTATGTTACATGAACTCAAAAAGTGCTTTCCGTTTATTTTGTTTTAGTGGTGACAGGTTTAGAATTACGCGTTTGCCTAATAATACGGTTATTAACAAAATAATGTTTTTTTTATATCAGTACCAATCCGGGAGGAAACAACTTTTCAAAAACAGTTTTAAACGTTTCATGTGATTAGAATAATACCCACCAAGTTACATCACCTGCAAATTTTCATGTTTCTGTATTTAGAAGAACATAATGAAGAAAAAACTTGAATAGTTTGTCACAAATTCAAATCACTACACCAAATTATTATTTATATTTTGGCAGCTCAGTTAATCCGTTAAATTGAAGTTCTTTTTAACATTTTTAAGTAAAGAACATATATAAAAAGAGGCCCTGTGTGAATATATGAATTAATAGATATATTAACAGGAATCAATTCGTAATGCGTGTAAAAATAAGACTAATTGCAAAAATTGAGTTATACTAACTGAACAAGCTAGTTAATTGTTAAAAAGTTATAAATTACAAGACGTAATTGTATGATGACGACACATTTTTAACCGACTTCAAAACCACAAAAGAGGAGGTTATCAATTCATCTGTATTTTTTTTGTATGTTTCGTACGTAATATCTCAGTCAATTGTGGACCGATTTGCAAAATTATTTTTGTAATCGAAAGGGTATGCTTCCGAAGTAGTCCCATTACCACCAAATCAGGATCTGATGATGGGATCCTTGAGAAATCGAGGGAAACCCTTAAATTTTTAAGGGCCCGACAGCGGGTTTTATCCTATTTCTTAATATGTATTTGCGTTTAGTAATCGTTACGTCATGTTTCTGAGCTGATGATGGAAGGATCCTTGACCTTTAGGAGTTAGAAAATAATGATTTAAAAAATCGCATCATGTATTGACCACCTTGTTTTAATCTTTCAACATATTTGCACAAAAGAGATTACAAAACATTAAGACAAAAAAAATATTTGCTATGCAATTATTTTCATGTTTGTTACCTCAAAACTCTTTCATTTGTAAACCGATTACAAAAAGTATTTTATTTTTATTATGTTAGATTATATTAAAACATACTTGATTGAGGTCGAAAGAGCACAACGGGCTGTTCTTAAAGTACTCCTTTACTTACCATTCCGTCACCCTACTCATCTAGTGTATGAAAAGGCTGAAGTTTTAAGCGTACGAAAGATGTTTGTCTATCAATGTATCCGCAAATATCACAAGCATACAGTACCTCTTCTCCAACCTTCGGGTAAAAGAAAAGACAAATGTCCAATCCCAAGGGTTAAAAGCAAATTTGCTCAACAGCGATATAGTAACATTGCACCAAGGCTATATAATAAACTTAATTTAGATTACAAAACCAGACACTTATCGAACTACCAAATTAAAAACATAATTAAAATATGGCTTAACAGTTTGGCCTACGATGATGTAGAAAGCTTATTGCTGGTAAGAACGTAGTTCAGGTTTTAATACACATACACAAACACACAAATACATACACACACACACACGCGCGCGCGCACTTGCACAAGCACACGCACACGCATAGGCACACTCACACTCAAACGCACACTCACACGCACAGGCACACACACACACATGCACACGCAAAATTAACAAAAGATCTTTTGTAAGTATTCTTCAATGTTTCTTTGTATGTTCCACGTGATTATTGTAACAACTTATTGTATCATGTCTTTGGGAAGGAACTGATCCCCGATATACAGCTCACGCTAGTTTGGGAATCAGGGCTTGCACTTGAATTGTATGTATCATTTGTTACAATAAAATTTATTATTATTATTATTATTATTATTAAATATAGTTTAAAAAGTCAGTTTTTTTCACATTTGAATGGAACTAAAGGGGAAATATATTTCCCCTTTAGTTCCATTCAAATGTGAAGAAAAAGACCACTCCTAGTTTTGTAAAATTAAGTAATGTGGAAAACAATATATTTTCGGGTTCAAATGTAAGATCTTACTAGGTTATCCGAATAAAGTAACGGACTTTTTAAACTATATTTAATATAATCTAACATACTACAGTTTGGTACTATACATAACGGTACGTAGTGTTTTAAATATCGTACTTATCTACTCATTACAATCATATCTTACACTAGAAATGGTAAAATAAATCTTTAAAAAAAAAGTTTAACCGACTTCAAACCATACTGACAAAGAGCACTAAAAATTAAAAACTAATTACAAATCTAAGTAAAAAAACTATAATAAGAACCCTCAATATAACAGGTAACATAATAGCGATAGTCCCTTCTAGTCCTTGAAGTGGGTGCCATGCCCGATGCACAATAAGTAATACTGGTCTATGTCAGCTTTGCATTAGCACAATAAAAAATTAAGAATTCAATATAATTCAAATGAAACATCGCAGATTTTGTTAATTAATAAAGACCAATCAGAATAATTACGTGCGCAAACTTATCAACTACTTTTATGATAATAAATTTACAAATAACTTTTTTTCCTTTACCAAATGCCGCTCGTCTTTTTAAAATCAAATTGTTTTCTTATTACTAAATTCTGACTTACTCCATACATTTTTTTATAATAGTGATCGTTTGATGGCTACATAACAAACTCATCTTAAAAATATTTACTGTACAGATATTATTTTACCCTAAACCAAGAGATCAGTAAGCTCGTACGACACGACCTCCGAGGCTCCAGTACTCTTTCGATTGAAAGAGCTATCGAGCAGAATCGAGGGTCAAAAGTGTTCGTACAATCTCTTGGAAGAAGCCACCTGACGAAGCTTATCACAGCAAAGGGGAAGTCGTTGCTTCGAAGCCGCTAGTCCTTTCGGAAGTGGAAAGCTTCTATGGCCGGTTATACGCTACACATGCATCTCGACCTGATCCCGAAAGTGAAGACTCCAGAGCTACATTAACACATCACTACACCGAAGACCTGCAAGAAGTCAGCACTGACGAAATCGAGATGGCTCTTGAATAGCTGCAGAATGAAAAAGAGACTGGCATTACAATAGAGCTGCTAAAGGATAAACCCGTACTAAGGGAGCTCCAAAAGCGTTTCAACGCTGTCTCGTTTGAAGGGAGAACTCCGGAGGAGTAGAGTGAGAGTGTGGTCGTTGTGTTATTCAAAAAGGGTGACAGGACCATGTTGAAGAACTACCGACCCATTTCCCTTCTAAGCCACATCTGCGAGCTGTTTTCAAGAGTCATCACGGACTGTCTTGCGAGAAGACTCGACGAATCCCAACCACCATGGGTTTCGGGGCCGATATGGCACCATAGACCACATCCACACAGTACGGCAGATTATAAAGATGACCCAGGATTATAATCAGCCCCTTTGTCTAGCATTGGGAGAGGCCTATGTCCAGCAGTCTACTGCGATAGGCTGATGACGACGATGATATTATTTTGTACACACGTTTAGACCACCTCAAACTTCGTTCGAGATAGATAAGCTGACTGTATTTACTACGTTTAAGTTAGTGGAAGTTCAAAAACAATCTCACGCAACGAGCAATCAGTTATAACATACGAGGTCTGTTCAAAAAGTATCGCGAATTTTGTATTTTTTCAAAAAGTATTTATATATTCATAAATATCTATTTTGTATCCTTCAAAGTAATCCCTCTCGGATATAATGCACGTGTGCAAACGTTTTTTTTCCAATCCTCGAAGCACTTAAAAAATCATTTTTCGTGATCTTGTTCAGCTCCTCCTTCGATGCCGTCTTTCATGGCCCTCTTCTGTTTTGGAAACAGGCCGCCCTGAGTGTGGCTGCGTGTGGACAGGACGGGTTTTCCCAACCACCCGCTATAATGGCCAGTCGCGAGGAGGTGACGTCCGGCACACGCGGACGTCACCTCCTAGATAGAGAATGCCTCGAAGAACCCGAAGGTGGTGTCCGCACAATTGCGGGCAGGCGCTAGGAGGGGTCCGGATGTCTTAATAACAGCAGTTTCCGGGTCCCTCCTATTACAGGCGCAGAGTGGCACACCGTGTGGTTTTAGTCGGTCCGATTTCGACACACCACACCCCGCCGCAAACTCCGGTGGGGTGACGGCCCGAGGGGGTTCCCACACGTAAAAAAAAAAATTGATTGTTAACGTGCCAAACTATTATATGTGTTTTAGTTTCTCGTGTTTGTTTCAGAAAAGTACCTTACAAATATTTATACTTAGTTTAGAAAAACTAAAAATACGTTGTAGAACAATTAAGGTCCAGAGTTCCACTAGCATCCTCCTGGCTACATCATCAAACCATTGTAATACTGTCTCATCTGTTCAACTCATAACAAACTCAAAGAACTTAACTAGTAAGCCGTAACCCCCATACTCTACACTACTATGCTATTCATTATGCGGCTAATCAAAGCAACTTAACCTACCTACAATAGTTAAAGCTAAATGAGCTTAGCATTAAAGTTGAATGTACCTTTATTGGCTCAGTTATGAAGAGCTACGACTTGAATGCGGCTTTTGCCTAATTATAAAATTGAACAATGTTGCCGAAATTCTTAAGATTTAAGATATCACATTCTTAATCAAAGTATTTTAATGCCTTTATAGTAACAGATACAATAAATATCAGATGAATTAGTTAACAAAACTAAAAGTCGGAATTATCGTCAGAAAGGAAGTTTCTGTAATGAAATTCAAAATTTAAGAAATATTTTTATTTCCAGTGTATCGTCTTCCAATTCCTTCTTCATCGCCACCTCAACAATCGTCTGCACCTCGATGTGATGTCACATCAAGCGGTAAGAGGAAAAGATCGTGGTCTCGAGCAGTGTTCAGCAACCTTCAAAGAAAAGGCTTGGAGCGACGGTTTCAAATACAAAAATATATTACAAAGCCAGACAGACGGCAACTAGCGGCTACCTTAGGACTTACTGATGCCCAGGTTTTCATTTTTTATATTTACAAATCAAAAGTTAAGTAGTAATTTAGTATAAATCAATGGCTAACCTGTTGGTCTGGTATTTAGTAAAAGTGACTGCTAAGCTGAAAGTCGTGGGTTCGATTCCCACCTAGCATAAACAGTTGTATAATGAGTATGAGTACGGTAAATAAAAAGGGTAATTTACTCTTAAATAAATAATAATTTAGAAAAATATTAGAGAACACAAAAAGGTGCCTACCTTGCTAATAAAATTACTTACCTATACTTCGTAATTTTTAGCCTTATACGGTGACTAGTGATATGACATAACTGGCTGAATCGAGAATCGATCATTGTTCAGACTGTAATCAATTGATTGCATTTTGTTAAATTTATAGGTTTATAATAAAATAACAAATAAGTATTTTAACATTATGTCGTACAACCTAAATCATCTTCTTCAGTCGTCGTTGTTGGAAAAATCCTCCAGATTAATTATACCTATGTTCTTGATCACAAACTGAAACAAATTATACTTCTCATTCCCAGTCTTCCTGAGTGTCTCGTAATAAAAGTTTGTTCAAAATTCGCGACATTCGACATTATCTTGTATAAGTATTTGTAGTTTTAGGTTATAAATTCAGATTAATAAAATTATTTAACTGTTACAGAACGTTATTTTATCCTAAAATAAGTACAAAATTTGAGCCAACAATAAAGAAAAATCAAAACCATAATAATTAGTTATCGATTCTTGTATCAAAATAATCAAATAATAGATTTAAACAAATCGATACATCTCATCCCTAAATTTTTGTACCATTGACATAACCTTGTAGGCGCGTAATCATAAATTTATCAATAATTTTAATACAAAAAGCCGTGTCGTGGGACACCCGATAGGAACGAAGTTGTGACGATCGAGTGAAACTGATTCGACACGATTTTAATTACAACGCCATCTATGAAAGCGGCTATTACCTACATATTTTTCAGTTGGTTTCTAATTAAAACAATTTATACATTGGTAAAATCTCCTTGAGAAATGATTTCCTATCTATTCGATAGATGGCTCTGAATGACTGACAAGTGACAATTCAAAATAAATACTGAGATGAAAAGTAATGATTTCCTATCTATTCGATAGATGGCGCTGAATGACTGACATAAAAGTGTCGTTACAACTTTTTGTGAGATTTTTTTCCGTCTAGCCCCCTTTCACAACGCGCGATAAGGAACTTCGTTCCAAAAATAAGTTTTATATTTCTATTTTAGGCAAGAACCAGGTAGTATTTATTAATAAAATATATTTAGCTTTTCTTAGTGTATTATTGATTGCGAAAAATCGAGATTGCCGGTGCTGTGAAATGACAGTGTCATTAAGACGTCGCGTCGGGTCAAAGTTGTGTCGTCGGATTGGCTTCTAACTGTTAGCGGTATCAAGCTATATTTTAAGAACTATAATAAAAGTATCTACCTAACTTAGGTACATAACTACGTGCTCTAGTACTTCATTAATATTTAAACTTACCCATTAGGTAAGCTGTTTGTTATATGAGGGCTATGGTAATATAATATGTGATTTCAGCTCAAGAGCGGATATAAAAAGGCATAGGTACCTAAGTATAAAGGCATAGGTACATGTGTACACAGAATTTGCGATCCGTAACTACATCCTTTATACGAATTTGATCCAACATGATTGTCTCATGTTGGGATCAATAAAACGATAAGATATTCATATGGCTTGTGAGGTTAAATAATATCTGCTCCCCACAACGGCTTTATAGGATAGCGCCGTAGGTGGTGCTGTGTCGTGGTAACTGGACGCGATGACTTGCTGTGAAACTTTAAAAATACTCATTTAACTTAATCAGTAAATACGAAAAGAACATTAGAAATTTACTTATTGAAATACTATATTTACATATCTTCTCATACTATAAACATGGAGTCTTTATATTAAACTGCAATTGGTAGGTAAATGAACAGTATGCTGACCTTTGTTAATCTTACTTCGTTGGAGTTGTCATATATGTCATAAGCAGTTAAAGAAACCTAGTACCAACTCAACTCTACAAATGAGAGTACATATTCAAAAGCCATCATATTAAGGTTGCGCCACTGATAATTTTCTGTTAAGTTAATGAAAAGATCGATTAATAGACAAAGAATTCTAAAAATCGGTCAAATGTTGTATAAAAATATATTTTGTCCACAGGTCAAAGTATGGTTTCAAAACCGCCGTATGAAATGGCGACACACGAAGGAAGGTCGCGGAGGCATTGCAGGCACAACGGGTATACCTGGTCGGGATCCCGACTCTTCCACCATTGATGATAATGAAGACATCGACGTTGATACGTTAAGTGATTGAAAGCAAGGGTCAAATGAAGTCTGTTTTTAATGTGATTAGGCATGTTAGTATACCATCAGGTCCCAGTTCGAAACTGAAAGTAACCTGGGGAATACCAAAAAACCCTTATTAATTGAATATAAGAGGACAAGACATCAATTAGAAATGGAATTCTGTGACAAATGTGCAAATATTCTAATTACGAAGAGACGTAAAATAATGCTAATAGACAAAGTTTTAGTTTTAATAGGCATGGGCATTAAATTTAAAATATGGACTTAATAGCAAATGGTTTCATATATATGAATGCTCATTTTTATTGTCTTCACTATACTTAAGTTAAATTATTAATCTGATCTTCCATTAGTCAACCATAATGCTAAAAGATAACTATGTAATTTAATAAGAAATGCTTATTATTTTTTGAGAAAATTAAAACATTTTCATATCCGATTATATTTCAATAATTTATAATTAGCTTATTTCAATTATCATGTATATTTGTAAATAGACAAACAATTTAGATTTTATTGTACTTTTATATACATTATACCTTTTATTATTATTTTAAACCTAATGTTTATACACTAGGATTAAACTATTACTACTACTATTCTCAACTTGGCTAACTACAGTTTTCGATTCCCAATCAAATCGATAAACGCCTAAGTACTTGTTTTCAAATAAACTGCCGTGAATAAAAAGGAGGCCACTTGAAAAAATGCTTTAATATTTTTTTTGTGAATTACGTTTGACTTACAATGTAACGAATTTAATGTCAAGCACATATTCAACTCAAGTTCAACATGCAATTTTCGAACAAAAATTAAAATCGTAAACTAAAGATTTTTGACCATTGTATTTTTTTTTAGTTTTCTTTGAAATTTTTCTACACTAACTGGTTTTGATAACACACACCATTATTTTACTTATTAACATTATTAGTTTTTATTGTTGACTGTGGTATATTGTTCTACTCCTCGACAGGAGTGATTTACGACTAACAGCACCATAAAGACACATACGTGACTCATCAGAGAATCCATTTTTCTAATGTCCAATCTCAGTGCTCACGGGCAAATTGTAACCTTGCTCGTTTGTACGCTATAGTGGAGGAGTCCTAAAAGAGATTACGGGATTGACTCGAACGTATCAGAGAGCGTGTCCGATTAACATAGGATTTCTCCTATTTTAATCTGACACGCTCGAGTTAATCCTTACCTTACACCCAGTTGACTACCTCCACCTTACATGAGCCCTACATATAGGGCGTAACTTTTTTTTTTAAACGTTTGGAAACCCTCTCGGGCCGTAACCCCACCGGTTTACGGCGGGGGGCATCGAACCGACTAAAACCACACGGTGTGCCACTTCGCACCTAAGATAGGAGGGGTCCGGGAACAGCTGATATTAATACATCCGGACCCCTCCAAGCGCCTGCCCGTAATAGCACAGGCACCGCCTTCAGGTTCATTCTCACACTCAGGGCGTCATGAGACGGTGGTTGGCGTTCCTCCGCCGCCTGGTTCGCCGGCGACGAATTGGTTCCAAGTGGAGGTCATCTGCCCGGGACCTCTCCGCCGCCTCCTTCTGCGAGATGACGTATTCACAGACCGCAAAACATCTGTCACTACCGGCCATGGAGCTTATGACGGCCGGTAGCGAGAGATCCCCTCCGATGAGGGGGGGGAAACTCTAGGGCAGACAATTAAAAAAATCGATGGCCAGAAATACTCAAGCGTGTAAGATTAAGTTGTAAGTTTTTATATTATATTTATATTTTTTTATATTAAATTTTTATATTTATATTTTTTTTTTAAAAGACAACTCCCGCATTATGAAAATATCCTGTGTCGCGGGGGACTTTACAAACATACATGAAACGGACACAAATAACACCCAGACTCGGAACAACAATTTGTGGATCACACAAAGTGTCGTCCCATGTGGGGTTTGAACCCACAACACTCGGCGTAGTAGGAAGCGGCGTGGCGACCGCTTAAACCACTACGCCATCCGTGCAGTCAAAGAGTGAGTTGAGTACATTCTTTCATTCAACACAGTGTGTATTTAAAAAAATCTTACGATTTGAGCGTGACTTAAGGCAGTGGGAGGGTCACAAAGTTCCAAAGAAAACACCAGACTTTGACATTTTTTTTATATTCTTTAAATGTCTACATAATTTTTCATGCCATTATTTGTCACATTTTGTAAAAAATCTAAAATAAAAATATTTCCAATCGTCAGATTTAAAATATCCTGCAAAATTATGGTAATATTCCTGGCTAGCATGACAGGAACATTTAGCTGAACCGTCTTTATAAAATCTAACACGCTCGGGTATTGCAAACCGGCGATTTTTCGAATTTACAGTTTGCATTTTCGATAATTCGCCACGAGCTTGTGTCACTCTAAAATCGTCAGAACTTTTAAATGGGAGATTTTTCGGCATCCAAATAACAAATCCCCAAAATATCTGATGCGCGGTACTCCAGGACATGTCCCGGTCAATAAGCTATTTGTTCCGATTTGGTAGCTAGTTATTAACTCTTTTATATTCGTTAGCCTTAAAAACTCGTCAACTCATCAACCTTATCAACTCATCCTAAGGTTGCCTGGATGAGATTGCTCTGAGCAATAAGGCCGCCCTTTGTAAAGGGTGTCTCAGTAAGAGTGCACTTTTTAAATTTAGAATCATTTTTTTCATCATACATTTTTTTCCCCAAAACATCAATTCGGCATCGTTCTCAATAACTTCATGCGTACAAGATTCAGCTAACTCAGGAGATCAAACCAGCAGACCATGAAAAGCGCCGGCAATTCGTTCAATAGCTAATGGGGCAAAGTAAAGTCGATGCCAATTTTTTGAAAAAAGTCACCTTCTGCGATAGATTCCAACTGAAAGGCTACGTGAATACACAAAATGGTCGAATTTGGGGCTCAGAAAATCCTCATGCAATCCATGAGAAACCACCCACAACGAGCAACTATTCTTGTATTCTATATTGGTTTAAAATGTTCCACTGATACTTTGATATCTATAGTCCACTAGTATATCGACGGTATTATGAAATGATGCAGTATGACTTTAAAATTTAAAATTGAATATTATTTTCGCGGAATATTATTGGTGCGGAACAATTATCAGTGTAGAATATAATGTGGTTTCCAACGCAGTACTCTTTTAAAATTGTGTAGAAGCACGTATCAACTTCGTCACCACCCTTTCCACTAAGACTCGTTCCAAAAGTAGCAATAGTCAGCTATTGACAGCGTCACACACTCTACAGTTGTATATGCCTGCAATCACCTTTTATAGAAAGGTAAGGAATCGTTTTCGCATGGGCTCTGGAGAACAGCTTGTATGTCATACCAACAAATCATTTTGTCCGCACCATTTTTACTAAAAGTAAGAGACCTTGCACCTACCGACTATTACTTTTTGCATGGGTGATTACTTCGAATAACAGAAATAAAAAAGTTCGAAAAAATAAGTACTTTCACTTATTGCATACAAAACGGCAATTTCATAGGCAATTTCACAGTGAAATTAGTCTCGAGAAATTTTTGCATATGTAGTGGTGTGTATATTACTCAGATCTTAGAGCGCGTTTCCACTATATCGTTCTGGCCTGTACAAAAATGTTTCGATATCCTAACATTACTATTTGATTTTATACTTATCCCTAGCAACACTCTGATTTTTGTTTTCAATAAAAACAAGTTTTTATTTTAAAGAAAAAGGTTTTGACTTTATAAAAAAAAAGGTGTGTGTGCGATTCACACACGATAGAAGTGAAACTTCAAAGAGGAGAGACCGATATTTAATTTTCTTTTTTTCCTTTCATCAAGATTTTTAAAACTCCGGGAGGTCTACGGGGGGGTCAAAATTTTTGTTATTTTTGGCCTAAGACGCACCGTTTCCGAGATATATCAATCTAAAGCAAAAAATCGTCACTTGATAGTGGAAAGTGGAAACACGCACAAAACCAGAATAAACCAGTTTACGCTGTCCGTACCATACACTACTACAAACGCAAAAATTTCTCCAAGCTAATTTACCTGTAAAGACCTATTATTTCCGAAAACAAAAAAGACCAATCTACTTTGCTAAGAAAAAATAAAATATCAAAGAAAAAATAAAATAACATGCAGTTTCAGTAAATGATGCATTTTTCTTAGACTTTTTCGATGTTTATTATCAATGTATGTAATATAGAGAATCAAAAAGAAATAATTGTAAATACATTACCTACAAAAAAAATCTAAATATATTTTTAATGGTGGTTCTAATTTACCTCACGTATTAGTTATTTAAGACGTGCAAAATGGAATATTAAATTTAAATTATAGGAATATCATATGATGCTGGGCTACAATTGTTTATCGCATCGTAGTCCTAAAGTCGCACTGATTGGTAGAGATAAAAACACACTACAAATGCTCATTTTTAATATTCTCTTTTATTACTTTTATAAAACATTTACAATTAAAGGGATAGGGCTGCCACATAAACAAGATAGCAGTTAAAGCATATTCGAGAATCATGCTACAAACAGTTGATTAAAAGTGATTAAAATTAATTCGAAATGATGAACCGCCAAGACAGGAAGGACATAAATTCTCTAGCACTTGGTGCTGTAGTAGCCAGAATTAATGCTAAATTTAATGCCAGATTATTTACAGTACGAACACACCAAACAGTATGATAAAAATAACTGCATTAGCATATCTATAATAATACAATAAATAAATACAATAATGTTTTAAAAACTGCCTATATATGAAAGTACTTTGGGCTTATTAAGAGCACCCGGCTCTTATAGTTTACAATAATTTAAACACCAAAAAAAAATACTATCCAGATGGTGTTATCCAAAATTAGTAAAAGGCGAAAAAAAGTTCAATAGCTGTAGAACTTAAACGCTAAGATATGTTTAACATAAACATACAACTAGGTAAAACATACTAAATATAAAGATATAACATTTAGTTAGACCACCTATTTTGGCATAAATATACATTAAAATATCTACAGACTACTTACTAGTAGTCTACCAGTTTCACTTTGTTTTTGGAAAAAGGTTCTTGCGAATCTAAATCGAAATCATGTGTCGGGCTACTGTTGTGCTCTGAATGCCTGAACCCATGGCTCTTGTAACCGCCTCTATGGCCAAAAGGTCTCCTCCGTCCTGAGTTATGGCTATCATCTCTCCACCTACTATCATAGCCCTGACTTTGCAGCCTACTGTAACTTTCGTGGCGACTACTTTGATCACGACTTGGATACTTATCGTATCTGTTTGGATAGTTCTGGGGCCTCTCCTCTTCATTTCGTCTATCATCTTCAGTGTTATGAAAACGTTTTCGAGGTTCTAGAAAGTGCGAATTTTCGCCATATTCGACAGGTCTAGGCGGCCTATGTGATGTCGACGGCTCGCGATTGCTTTCCCATATAGGTATTCTCTTTTCTGGTGGAGGAGATGCACTTCTTGATCTACTCTTCTCATCTCGTTTCTTCTCTTGTGATTGTGAATCCCTGTAAATAAATTAAGTTGTATGAAAAAATTAATGTACTAAGCGGGCTTCGCGTCCGGACCTTCTAAAGTTGCAGTCGAAGAAAGCAAACTATTGAACACAAATAAAACATAAAAATGTTAGTTATTATTTTAGTGTTTTCTGTGACTGACGATCACTGAAAAAACACTTGTTATATTAGTATGTCCTAAACACCAAAAGAAAGATTTAAAAATTAAGGGTGCAACAGTTTAAAAGAAAACCTTATTCATCTCCAAAATATTCTGAGATTTTCTTTTTTGTACACTTGTTTTTAACACAATCTTTACGAGTAGCAGTGCGCGTCACGTTTTACAAATAGTTTCTTTTAGTGATTGTAAGTTTTAGTTTTAGTGATCATATACAACTGCTAGTCCACATCTGACCCAAACTTCATAATAATATGTACATACACATCACACAGTTTTTACTTAAAGGTATCGAAATTACCCCTCAAGAAAAGTTATATCTCTAGTGAATTCCGAAGTCTCCATATTGTACAAGTAAAAAAAACATCAACACAACAAAATAATAACTATCTTGTTACATTCAAGTTCTTACTTAAGACCAATTATATCGGCAGTAGATTGAATTCGACCATAAAAGGTTTACCTGGAAGACGACCGGCTATGGCTTCTATCCGAGTCGTCATCGCTGGATCTTCTATTCTGCTGGTGTCGCATTTCACGCTGCCTAAAACAAAACAAGACTACTGAATGGGCGTTTTAATGTATAGATGTGTGTCACAAAAAAAGTAAGTACACATTTGATATCAAACAGGTTTCGAAATTAAAAATCCACATGACGGTGTTGTCTTTATATATCATAAATGTGAAGAAAATGATTGTAGGCATATTATACGTGACCTATCTAAGTGGCGTGTATCGATCTAAGTGGCGTGCAATGGGAGAGGCCTATGTCCAGCAGTGGACTGCGATAGGCTGATGATGTGATGTGATACGTGACCTACGTAGAGCCGATGACTCTGAAATCTTGTGCAATTTCCACAGAGGTTTTCGTAACTTGCAATTAAAGTTTGAACAAAAACAAAAGCAATAAAATCTACTCAAAATATCGTTTAGTGACAACCAGATAAATAACATAATTATATCATCATCATTGCGCTTGAAGTGAAGATGTCACCGTTCCGTTTTTTAAAACAAGGTACATGACCTCCTTCTCAATGAGATCTCAGAATCATCCAATCGATAGTACACCAACCAATTTTCTTAGTATACCTTATTCGACACTTACGACATCCAAGGGATATGTATAGGGGTATAGTTAAACCGCCGTAAGCTTGGCCCTCCTGATGGTTTGGGGGACGCGGGGCGGGGGTGCATTCAACCAATTAGCTAGTGCGTCGCTGTCCGCCGGCAGTGACTGACGTGAAAGCATGGCTGTACGTATTATTTTTCTTAAGACTGCTACACACGGTATTATTTTGCAACATGGATAATCTGCCGACACTGCGTCACAAAAAGATTTAAAAACTTGAGGTTCGGCTTACAGAGGTTCTACTGTTAAAGTTCTAATAAAGAATATTTATTATTTTACTTAATTTTTAAATTGTATCTGAATATAATTTACATGATGAAGAAAAGGTGATTTTATTAAAATTATTTTACAGTATTAAATTTTACAATTATACATAAAAACTTACAATAACATACACATAACACATGGAAATAAATTCGATTTTTATTACATCGTGTGTAGATTAAATCTCAAACAAATAAATCTGAAGATATCGAGTTAGTACATCGTGTCATGTATAGCCGAGCGCATCACCCGCCCCGCGTCCCGCAAACCATCGGGAGGGCCAAGCTCACGGCGGTTTAACTATAGTGACACTCTATTATTAATCTGTCACTACACAGACTAATATGTATTTACATTAGAAGAAAAGCAATAAAAAACTCACTTTCACATTTATAATATAAGAGAAGGGCAATAGTTTACAAAAAATATCTAAGCAAACCAGTGTAATGTCTATTTATGACAACATCAGACCAAATATATTAATTGATCTAGGCTATTTAAGGAACAATATAGCGACCTGAAAACTTCTAACCGTTAAAAAGAAAGAAGTAAATTCTAAAAGACATTATAAAGATTTTAACTAAATTTACATACTTAACAACATAGTAACCGGTTACAGAGTACCTAGGAACAGTTTCATCACCAAACAGTGTCGCTAGACAACTTTGAAATAGGCTTAGTCGGATAAAGTAACAGAAATGCCGGTAATATAATATGGTGGATTTGATATGTAACCTAAAAATAATTTAACCTAGGCTGGGTATGTTAAAAGTAAAGAAAAGAATATAGCGATACCGACTTGCGTCTCAGTTTGATGGCCAACTCCCTCATCTCCTCGTCCCGGCGCGCCTGGCGCCGGCTCTCGCGCTCCAGGCGCTCCGCCTCCGCGCGCTTGTCCGCTCGCACTGAACGAATATTATTCTATTATTTACATTTCTTTTAGCAATTCCATAAAGGGCGGGCTCGTGTGCATCGTACTGATAAAAGGTTCTGTTTACGTATACTTATAGGCTAGGCAGGATCTCATAGAAATGAAGTCCATCATACCTATATTTTATGCTATCTACAGTTTATATTTCAAGTATTAAGAAGAACTAAAGTTATATGACCGGTTACTCCTATTTCCTAAATATTCTTGCGCGACGATTCAGACCTTGAAACCGTAAGTCATGAATAAATAATTAAGAATATGGCATCTCATTATTAATAGAAAATAAACTTAAACATTTAATGATCTATCGGTTTAAGCTAATGCTAACTCAAAATACAATCAAGGCTTTATACATACAATGTAGATTTTACAAAGTCTGCATTATATTATCAACGATGATGAACCATTTAATATTATTTTTTTGTTCGTTCATGATCAATTATATTCTCATTCAAAATTTGGCCCTACATATTGTTTTTGAGGGCTTGTTGGAACACATAAAAAATAAGAATACAAAAATAAACAACCGAAATTTATAAAGAGAGTATTGTGAAAAGTTGACCCTTTGACCGCCACGTCAATAACGACAAACTGTGCTCTCTACGCCAAGCGACAAATTTCTTGTTTCATACCTACACAATTATAGTGACGGGCTAAAGTATATCGATAAATTATCAATACATTTTACTTGTGCATGGTTTACGAATAAAGAATGCTAATACCATTAAAGTTTTATAAATTTCAGCCATATTTTATCTCACTTCTCAGCTAAGTGATTACACCGAAGCAACAGCTTCAGATAAGAGCAGATTTTATAATACAAAAAAAAGTTTTTTTTTATTACAGCGTAATCTATTTTGTGACCACATCCACTTTACTCATAATTAATTATATATTTGCCTCTATAAACTTTCATTTTGTAACAATGAGTAATTAACTCATTACCATATTTTCCCGTAACTAGTTGACGCATAAGGCATCAATGGCGCTCAGAGTTTGTAACTTTAAAATTTAGTTTTTTGATCAATTATTTTTTAAATATTATGTGCCTAGACTATGTCTCAGTGTTTAAATTAATTAATATGGTAGTCGAAATCAGGATGAACTCTTATAAATGCACTTGATTCTCAAAATTAACATTAGCTAATTTTTATTCATCCGTAAAAAATTAAGTGCTGTGGAAGCTTTAAGACGACATTGGCGTCTCGAACAAGTTATTGAATGGCGCTTTAATGCGTCCTTGGCGGTCAACGGGTTAATAAGCATGGAAACGGCAGAAATTTATTCCACACGTTATTTTTAATCAACTTATATGAAACTCACGCTGCCTTGATAACTGTGCTTGCATCTTCCTCTTCAGTTTTTCTTTTAGAGATATCGTCTCACGCGACGGTCCCTGCAAAAATGTATATGTTAATTTGACGTATATGTAAATTGTTACGGAATCAACTCTTAGAATCAACGCTTAGTTTTAGTTACGTTAACTATGTAGCGCAACTGAAACTAAGCCACATTCCAACCACGAGTATGAAATTATATTTTTGGTCAGATGACATCATGTCATTGTGTATTTATTAACAAAATAATAGAAACACAGCACGTTTAAGCAAAGGTATCGACGAATTTTGAATTTTTCCCAATTTTTTAGAAAAAAATGAGGTTTTTAAATTTCTAAATTGTTACTAAATTTCAAAACGAATAACACTGTCACATATCCACCACCACCAACAACCTATAACAGTCCACTGCTGGACATAGGCCTCTCCTTAGAAAGGAGGTGTGACTGTCACATATCGCTTTGGTTTAAATGTACAAACGTTTTTATTTATTCTTCTGCAATTTTTTTTTTTCTGTGAAGAAAGAAAGAAATGCATATCATACAAGAACTAATTTTTCTTTCAAATGGCAACCATCCAATTTCCTTTTTTATAAAACAAAAATCTTTAAGGTCAGCAATCAGAATGGCAAAATGTTGAGCATTATAAATGTTAATAAAATATTAGCCTCGTATTTCATAACATAAAAGCCGCCTGTGCTCTGGACTAGATTGTATGACCTTTGAAAGTTTTTTAACTGTATTACTAATACTGTAGATACTGTGTGGACAAGATTTGCTGGTTTTCTAGTCTGCTATTACTTCTAGACTTATAGAAAAAACTGTCTAAAAAATAGGATCATATCCGCCTAATGATGTACTGTAAAAGTTTTAACTGGGTACTAACTAAATTTGAATTATTTTTATTTGTCTGTCACAACAATATCGTTGAAAGAATCAAATTTCACAGATCATAAATTTTGTATTTTATTCATTCATAGGACTCGTCCATTAGATAGCAGCATAAATGTAAAGCGAATACATAACAAGTGTACATGACATCTTAATAAGTAGTGTATAAGTATATCATCTTAGTGTTCAAGATGGGAATAGTATAGAAATACATATATAATATAGTTTATATGAAAACGCGAATTTGTTGGAAATGTTTCGGTACATCTATGTTCTCGATCTTATCATTAAAGGTATTGAATTGATTGACAAGCTCTTCATTGACTCGTGTTACATATTTGACACGCACAACACGTTTCAATACGAACTTTTCACTAAAAACTGAAGAGTAGAATAGTGGGCACATACATGCCCTCTTCGCTTTCACTGTCCTGATCTGTACTTATGGTACGTACGTTCATCGGTATTGTAGAGTTCATTACTTTAATAGTCACTTCAATAACTAATCCGTAGTTTCGACTACATGAGATGGATTTTGCATTTTTCATTAACCGTATATATGTGATATACTGTCGGCAGTGTCGTATAACCTAACTTTTAAATCGTTAAGTTGGCAAAAAACGGTACTATATCACCTCAAAGCGAAATAATCAATTGTAGGTAATAACTACTGGACAGTAACTTTGTAAGGTGCTAAAATGAAAGCAGAAAAAATTTATAAAAGCAAATGATTCTTACTGACTTTGGAGCTGGATCCAGATAATCGTAACTGATTCTGGTTTGTATTGGGTTTATTGCCAACCGCCGTTCTGGAAAATAAACAATTGCATATTTTAGTATATTATTTCGTTATTTTAAAGAAACTAATATACATATTGTGTGTAATGGTGATAATGTTAGAAGTATTTTATGAAAGCTACTCGTAATAATAAGAAAAGTATTACTAAGTTAGAATAGGCTCTTAAAACCTGTAATACCAATGATATTGCTTAAAAACTGTAACCTGCAGCGCTAATAGTTAATCATATTAATGGGTAGGGTGGCCAGACTATATTTTTAAAAACATTTGTGTATGTTATTAGGATATTTTTATGAATCACCTTGAAACTACGCGACAAATAATTTGTCCAGTGTATCTAATACTAATGCAGCTCAAGGTAATTTAATGGACATCAACATGCATCAAATGCAATTTTTTTTTGTTGGTAGCCAAAGAAACATCTACAGCCTATGCCAAAAGTATTAGGCAGCCCAGAAAAATGCACAATTCATGTTTACTGATTGAACAATGAATAAATGCTTATCTTAGATGGCATGCCGGGGTCACAAATAACTTCCTAGAAAAGCAAGCAGCTATCTGTTATGGTCATAAAACACCTGGTGACTGAAAACAAAGGATTTGTTTTTATGCGTTCTTATCAGTCAATGTTTGGTCACTTGTGTTCAGGACTCTAACGAGTTCGGGGGGGGGGTCGTCTACTCGTCTGTAGATGACCCGAGGTATGTCGGGGCACCAGGGACTTCCTTTCTAGGGTATACCTGGTTCCCCGGCTATTAATACCCGAGACGGCGTGCGGTTTTAGTCGGTTCGAGTCCGACATGCCACCGACAGGTGGTATCCGAGGGGATGTCCGCACGGAAAAAAAAAAAAAAAGGACTAACGAGTAAACAAGCTTTTATTTCTAACATAGTGATTAAATTGACGCGTTATTTATTTGAAAATGCCGAAAAGAAGTGAAAATAGTTTGGAAAACCGACTAAAAATACTTTTCCATGAACAAAAGAAGTCGCAAAAAGAAATTGATAAGTTAGTGAAATGTTCGCGTTGCGCTGTGCAATCTGCTATCAAACGGTTTGCTGAGACTGGCAGTCACGCTAATAAACCAAAAACAGGCTGAAAACGTGCGACTTCGAACTACTTCTACTTCGACTTCGACTATGAAAGATCGGAAGAAAACATCATCAGAGCTTGCTGCTACTTTGTCAATAAGTGCTCGGACCACCAGAAGAAGACTTGAAGAAGCAGGCTTAAAAGGATGCAAAGCCAGGAAGAAGCCCTGGCTTCTTTTGTTAGCTTTCAGAAGCTAACAAAAGAAAACGACTTGTATGGGCTCTACGGCATCGACATTTTATTGAGGAAGATTGGGCCAATGTGGTATGGTCTGACGAATCTAACTTTGAGGTAAGTAAATTTTACTGCTTTTGTTATTAATAATCATGGTCAGTTATTTATTTCACTAAAATAATAAAAGTTAAGGCAGTTTAAAAAAGTGTTTTTTTTCTTTTTTCAACAGATATTTGGAACGCCAGGTGTAACCTTCGTGAGGCGATGTGTGGGCGAAGAATACCATCCAGATTGCGTCGTACCTACAGTAAAGCATGGAGGAGGCAGCATAATGATCTGGGGCTGCATGGCTACTGATGGGGTTGGCGAAATGTTTGTTTGCGAAGGTCGTATGAACAGCGAAAAGTACATAAAAGTGCTTAAAACTGCGCTTATGCCTTCGCTAACGAGTATTTTCGCCGATACCAACTTAGAGGGAGTTATATTCCAGCAAGACAATGCACCTTGTCATAAGTCAGCGCCTACGATGCGTTGGTTTACTGAAAACAACATTGACTTGTTTGATTGGCCAGCGCAGTCATCAGATTTGAACCCAATTGAACATCTTTGGAGCATTTTGAAGCGCAAGATTAAAGAGCATAGTATCACATCTAAAACGGCATTAAAAATGCGTTCATGCCATTACAAGGGAGGATTGTACTAAGGTTGTATGCAGCATGCCAGCTAGAATTAGTGCAGTCATGAAATCCAAAGGTGGACCGACTAGATTTTAAGTTTTTTTTCATTCTTTTTTGTGTAACTTAATGGTAATAAATCAATTCAAAAAGTATAAGTTGTTTTTTTCCTTTATTTTAAGTTAAATGTAGGGTGCCTAATACTTTTGGCCAATTGTGTATTTTGTAGTGAAGTAATAACATAAAATAATAAATCAATGCAGAACATAAAAATAAACAAATATACAAATGAAATTATTGTAAATGAACAAAGCCTTAGAACATGTTGCTGGGTAGATAGTAAATAATCAGCAAGGTTTTAGAACAACTCTTACTGTTCTTATGTGGCATTTGTGTAACACCAATAATTAAATTAGCAATATTTCGTACATGTTTGCTTCATTACAAACATTACAACCTCTACAATAACGTAGGAGTCCATTTAGTGAATGACTAACTTACTTGTTTTTCGGGTCCTCGGCCGAATCATCAGACTCGGAGTCCACAGAGAGTTCACTGGAAGACTGGTCTTCCTTGCGTCGCCCATAGTATCGCGGCACAGAGGGTTTGCTGTCGCGATGCTTGTCGCTACTGTTAAAATAATGTAAAGTATCAACCGAAAACAACAATGTCATTTTAAGTAAAGTCAATCATATAGACTCACCTCAGCCTCTAAATATTTAATCACTAATTCCAAATCAAGCTTACCTTTCCGAAGACATCAACCTGGAGTTATTATGCTTTGCATAGGCACTAGCATGACTGCAAAATACAAACATCATTAGTTTTCAGTCACACAGAACTATTCGTTTTTAAATACTGAATAGTAAATGTTGTATACAACCTTGTAGGACTTCGAGAATATCTGTTTCTACGGTTACGTGACCTTGACCGTGTCCTTGACCTTGTCTTTCTATAAACGGGGCTGTAGGATTTTGACCGCGACCTAGAAGAAACTGAACGCGATCTCGGAGAGCGTGACTTTCTCCATGAGCGCGATCTAGATCTGGATCTTGAGCGAGATCTTGAACGGGATCGTGAATATGACCTGGACCTTGAGTGCGGCCCGCGAGGTCCGATTTGAGGTCGAGACCGTCTATCGTGGGTTTGTGGCGACCTGAATTGTAGATATCTAGATTAAAATCTTTAAACTAATTTACGTCAATCATTTTAATAGTCGATTATTTATTTATTCTTTGAAATTAATTCAAAACATACCGTCCATGTGGTTTTCTAGCTACATCAGCATACAACATCTTCAAATTTTGCTTTACTTTGTCAGCATATAAAGGCCTTCCAGATAGTGCTATAAGAAAATAGACATACATTATTATTATATTACTAGTAGAGATTTTATTACTAGTAAACGAATTATCCTTTTCAAAATATGTTTTGAACTTACGAGGTTTGACCTCTTCTTCTTCACCACCAAAAGATGTGATGAACTCAATTTTATCCCCTGTTTCTGGTGAGGGACTTCGGCTTGGTGATCGACTTGGGGACCGAATAGGTAAAGATGATGGAGCAGCATAACTCGGTGGACTTACAATTCGTGTTGCCAACTTTTTATCTCTAGAAGATGTTGTAAAGCAAATAATTATTATAGCTGCCAGTATTCGCAGATAGGATTGTGAATGAACATTTGAAAAATCAGCCTCAATAAAACCGAGTTAATTGTAAAATATTTATTCAGATATTACTATGGACAACAATTTCTTATAACTTAATAAAAAATACTGAACTAATCTGAACCAGAATAAGGTCTTTTGTAATAGGTATTTGTTTGGTTTTAAATCTTACCTTTTTTCTGCTAAATCATATTTTATTTAAATGCTTGACCGGAATTTTAACTTATTGAAACTTAACAAATTACAATAATTTCTGCTGTTACTGCAGATAAGGAAAGATGCTAAGGAATGAGCAAAGTACTTAAACACTGTTAACTATTTGTGTCTGTTTTTAGCTTAAGATATAATAAAATATTACAAACCTATGAGCTCGTCTTTCTCTTCTGCTTTTTCGTCCAGAAAACATAGCCTTTTCTTTTTCCTCTCTCAATAATTGTTTTTGGTGTTCTGCATCATCAGCATCCCCAGTGAGAAATGAAAACAAATCGCAGCCTGCCATGCCGAACTGTGGCCCCACTGCATTCAACTCATGAGCCTGTGCTCATAAAAGATCATTTCAAGAAAAATTAAGAGCTTAAACAATTCTCATACATGTATTTATATTTTGTATTAAAGTGTTGTAAAATCTCATAGCCTTAAAGTTTCAACAAAAAACTTGCAAAAAGTAACAGGTATTTAAAGGACATTAATAGGTATATTATACATACAGCTGTGCAGATATATGACATGTGTCCTACTGTGTTTACTATTGTATTAAGAAATTATGACTGGTCATAAGTTCACAGTCACCCTAAATCCTATCTCTAAAGTACACATCTGGAAATTAAATCTTAGACAAATACTGTTATAACTGGCAAGTGATAACTCAGTTATATTTTTTATCAAATGAGCAAAAATTAACTATAATATATGGCATGGTGAGTTACTTTTCTCTTTAAAATTTCAGTGTGCAGAGCAAAAGTAAGTGCTTGAGATAGAAATAATGAATTGGCTTCCCATTTATTGTACAACTAGGTGAGACCCGCGGTGTTACCCGCGTTTATTGTTATAACCGCGGGCAGCGCCGCGGGGCGAAGCTAGTCTAAAAAAAGTATCCTAAGTTACTCCTTATGTCATCAGCTATCTGCCAGTGAAAGTCCCATCAACAGAGACAAAAATTGTAAAAAATGATATTTTGGCATATGTACCGTGTAAACATATATGTCATTATTTTAATATTACAAAACACTCCAATTTTATTTATTTGTATAGAAGAAACCTAAAAATCCAACAAAAACAAGGCCCCTTAGAGGAAAGTTAATACTTTGATGAAGGTTTTACACTTATTATTCATTATTTTGGCAAAATTATATGATGTCACCAACTATTTTCATTTAATGTTTTTATTTCAATCAATTTATTTGGTCACAACATATTCATTTAGTCTGATAAGAATCACAGAAAGAGCTTTTTTTTTATAATGCACTAGCAGATCATAGATCTGATGAGTGCACATCGCTGTACTTGTGTTCGTTTTGTTGTTTTTAAATGATCGTCTAGTCTGTTTTTTAAAATGTTCACTGATCAAGCATTAATTACACTTTCCGGTAAACTATTCCAAAAGGGGGCGAACCACCATCCAAGTGGAGGATATGTACGATGACATATTGAGGGCCCTCCACTTCACAACTAAGACCAGACCGACATTGAGTTCGGACAGTTAGGTGGAAACAACTTCGAGGACAAGGTGAACAAAAGAATTCAGTTGGGTTGGGTAGCATTTGGGAAGCTACGTCGAGTCTTCACATCGTCGATCCCACACTACCTTAAGACGAAAGTCTTCAATGAGTGCGTCCTACCCGTCATGAGCTATGGAGCCGAAACGTGGATGGTACAGCTGTTCCACAAGTTCAAAGTCGCTCAACGTGCTTTGGAAAGGGCTATGCTCGGCGTTTCTCTAAGGGATTGCATCAGGAGTGAGGCGATCCGGCAGAGAACCAAGGTCACCGACATAACCTACCAGACCAGCAAGCTGAAGTGGCAGTGGGCTGGCCATATAAGCCGCAGCACCGACAACCATTGGGGAAAACGAGTTCTTCAGAGGAGACCGCATCTCGGCAAACATAGTGTAAGACGCCTACAGGCCAGGTGGAGTGACCATTTACGCAGGAGCTGGATGCGAGAAGCCCAAAATCGATCTAAGTGGCGTGCAATGGGAGAGGCCTATGTCCAACAGTGGATTGCGGTAGGCTGATGATGATGATTCCAAATGGTCACCACTCAAAGTGGTAGAAAGTGTCTTCTAGGGTTGCTTACAGACAGAGACATGTTAAGCTACAATGGGTGTCCTCTCAATTGGGTATAATTAACATATATTTTTATTATGTAATCCAAACCATTGTTCGCTATAGGTGTTTTATGAGTTTATAGGTTTGGTATTCAATAGAAATCCATTCAAAACACTTTTTCGATAATTCTATTATGCATGACACATCCACTATCAAAGTATAAACCATATTTTATTATAATTGATTTTTATTGATACAGTTGGCATTACTAACCTGTGATGCTTCCATTTTGTTTACATCTATGCTTAAGTCCACGTCAATGATCTCCAAATCAGAATCATCATCTGAATCTTTCTGATCTTCCTTTTGTTCCACTTTTTTAGTCTCAGGGCCTGTAATTTAACACTCATGCCATAAGAATACCCACTTATAAACTCCCTAGTGCTTACTACCCTGCGACCAGACATAGGTAACTTTCAAACATCACAGCAGACTGTATAGTAAAGCTGAATCTACCGTTAGAACTAGAGGGTTGGGCTCCTGGATCACTATAATTGTATGCTATAGCAGCGCCTGTTCCTTTCTTTTCATGAAGTTTTTCTTTTTGCGTTTCTTTTTCTTCAATTGTAACACCAAACTGTTCTTCTATTGCTAACTGTTGTAGAAACTTGTCTTCACCTAAAACAATGACATGTTTATTAGGATGAAAGTAAACTTGAACTGAATGTAATGTATTTATTATTACAAAAGACTAAACACTTATCATATACACCTCTCATGCCATTCCATACACATACTTACATATACATCTATGCACTTACCACACTACACACTTTCATCACACATTGACATTTATCTCACTGCACTTATTTGCAAAGATTTCTGTGATCCTCCTCAACTTCTGTAACACAGGCTAGGAGGCTAACTCAGGAGTTAGGGACTTCACATATTGGTGTACTTTTAATGTGAATATTTTAAATAAAAAAATTAAAAATAAATAGAATAGTCAAACACTTATCAATATGACATTATTATCCTAAATATTTTCATAGACATAATCAAGTCTTGTGCTAACAGTCTAGCACAAGACTTGATTATGTCTATGAAAATATTTTATATCAATGACAGGGCTCAGTATTTAAAACCCATTTTTACAAATATAGGATATTGGTGACTCTCCAGCATTAGCCAATTTAACAGGTGTGATACCCAGACCTGCTCCAGCTATTCCTTAGTAGTAATTAAAAACTTTACTTACTTATACCCAGAAAGACATTCTGAGCAAGAATCCTGTATCTTTCATAGTTACATTGTCTCTCTTCTGTACTTAACTCTTCAGGTGGAATATCTGGATATTGCACTTCAGGAATATAATCCAAGTGGGCTCTGACATCAAATCGATCTATCATATTTGTTGTATCACCTTGCCATGGCATCCTTAACGCAAAATAAGAGTAATCAATCACTTTTAACCAACAAAACAATAGTCTAGAATTTGAATTGAAAGGACTCACATAATAGCTGGCCCCTCTCCTGCTGCAGCGATGGCTGGATCTAAGTGAACCTTACATGGTCGACCGTGAAGTTGCAAAAATTGAGTTGGTTCTGCTTTCTAGAAGATAAGAGGAATACCAAATTATTAAGTAATAATGAATTGTTCACTAGTATAACCTTTTTCGAGAATGTTTATTTAATTTTATAATAATCATACAAATTCACTTTAAAGTAAAGAAACAAAATGCTCACAATTTTTTCATAGAAATCTTTGCGGCGCTCCGCCCTTCGTCGATAGTCAACAATCATACCGCGAATCATCCTCTCTTGTTTCCTCGCTTCGTGCCACATTGTAGTTGTTATTTGAACAATCAAAAAGCATAAAAGATCAATATTTTAGAAGAAGCATCTAGAAAAGATTATCAAGCACTAAACACAATCGATCTAGTCAAATCTTCAATCTTCAAGTGAAATTCCAAATCGTTGACTGTGATCGTTGATACGCCATCTTGGAATCGAAAATATCGAATAAAATATTTTGTCAGTGTTACCAACCAACTTGTTACGAAATTGGTAGATAACACAGAAATCGTAATAAAAGACACTTTTTTTGTTTCCTATCGGTGGCATGTCGGACTCGAACCGACTGAAACCGCACGCCGTCTCGGGTACGAATAGACCAGGTATACCCCAGAAAGGAAGTCCCTGGTGCCCCGACAATAATAAGACACTAGAAATGAATTAGCGCCCGATTACTTCCCAAACCGATCTCGCTACATCTTAACACACACACAAACAATTATACCGGATTATGAATGGATAAACTCTGATCTGAATTTCAAGGTCCTTTTAAAGTCACAGTGATTTTTTTTAAATAGGATCCTGATTTTATTTATAAATTATAGAATCAATAAAACAGCCGTAAAACCAATATTTACACCTCTAAACGTGTGAGCTTGACCTTGGATTGGTGACCTTAGAGGTCAACATTTGCGTACTGAAAGTCATATCCAATTGTAATTTTTTCCTTTTATCAATTTCGGGCTTACAAATATGTAATCCAATGTTAATAAAACACTTGCAAAACAACGGTAAAATGTATGGGGCATAAACTATTATGAGCCTTTATCATCATCATCATCATCAGCCTATCGCACGCACCTTAGATCGATTTTGGGATTCTCGCATCTAGCTCCTGCCAGCAATCTGGGGAAATTGTCACTCCACCTGGCCTGTGGGCGTCCTACACTACGTTTACCGAGACACGGTCTCCACTCGAGTACTCGTTTTCCCCAACGTTTTCACCTCGTCCATGAAGTTGTTTCTACTTAACTGCAATGTCTGCCCGAGTTACACATCATTTTGAAAAACTTCGAGAACGGCACCGTGTACCGCAATCGGTTCCGGTAGTACATGTTCGTTGAACATGACCTTGGTTTTATCCAAGTTTATCCGTAGGCCAATGCGTATAGAAGAGTCAGCTAGGTCATTTAGCATCTGCTGTAGGTAATGCAACGTCTCTGCCATGATGACGATGTCGTCTGCAAATCGCAAGTGGGAGATGCATTCGCCATTGACATTCATGCCACGCCCTTTCCAGTGCAGCGCCTTGAACATGTCCTCCATTGCAATTTGTGAACAATTTCGGGGAAATAACGTCCCCTTGTCTCACTCCTCGATGCAATGGTATTGGCCTTGTTCGCTGATTCTGTACATGAACATTTCATCACTTGGATGTATCGCCAATCTGCTTCACCCCGGTGTCCCCTTTCACGTGCGCGCGGGGCCGCGGGAAGCAACGCAGCGGAGCGTTGCAGCCACCCGCCTTGTGACCGGGCTGGCCACAGCGGAAGCATCCGTCACCTACGGTGGCCTCTGCCGTGCAGTGCACCCCTACGTGCCCCACCGGCACCCACAGGCACCGGAAGCACCTTGCCGGTCGGGCCTGCAGGAGTCGTGCCTGCGCCCTCAGGAAACCTCCGACCAGGAGGCTCCGTCCATCGGCAACCTTCTGAGCCGCCGCGATGGGGCAGCTGACAACCGCTGCCCCCTGTCCACCGGGGCCGAAGCGTATTGCTCCGGCCTTCACGCTGTCCAGAGGGCAGCTTCCCGTCTCCGCCACGGCGAGTCTGAGCTCGTCCGCCGTGACAGAGTCGTCCAGGCCCGTGATGCGAACTTCGGCGCATTTAGTGGTCCTGGACACTCGGACGTCAGCTGCATCTAGTGACTCCCTCAGCTTAGCCGCTAGGGCGTCGGCTTTGGGGCCACTGGTAGCGCCGGCGACCTCGAGGAGCCGGGCTCCCGTCCGTGTGTTTTTACACCGGACGCCCGGAATCTAGAGGGCTTTGAGGTCGACGTTGGCCTTGACTTTGGCGCTCCTCTCCGCTGCCTCCGCCGTCAAAGTGAGTAATGAAGGCCGAGGAGCGAGGGGCGCAGAGCTTCCTCGGCGCTTCCGTCGCGGCGGCCGCAGCCTTTCTGGCCTTTTTTGCCGCTTTTTTGGCGGCCTTCCGCCTCTTCTTTGTTTCCCCGGCTACCATCCAGCCCCCTTCCAACGGGCGCTGTGCGGTTTTAGCCGGGGTCAAGTTTGGGTTCGCCTTACAATTCCCCTTTCTTTTCCCCTGGGTGGCCTTCTGAGGTGCTGTGAACGCTGGCCCGGCCACCCTAGCTGCTGGCTTGGCTGTAAAGCCCGCCTTAGCAGCGGCCACATATGCTGTCCTTGGCGAAGCTAGAGGTGGGCGACAATGAGCGCTCTCAACTGCTGAGATACGCTTCATTATTCGCTCCTCCATCTCCGCCATGAGTCGGACTATGTCTGGTGCCACGCGGCAGGACGATGTAAATGTAGCTCTCCACGTTCACGATCACAATGTGTGCGGCCTTTTTTGGCCACCGATAAACCTGTGTGTGGATGTATAAATTGAATGTTATGCCAATAATTAGTTGTTTAGTTCAGTTGTCTACCTGTAAAATTTGAACGTCGTACATATAATAATTTACGAGATAATTAAATAAAAGTCATTAGAAGGTGCAAGACCGTGGTAACCCGACCATGTTTAGGTGATTACAAAAAAGCGATCACCCAGTACATTGTGCCGTCTTTTATAATGATTAGTGTAATACACTTTACGATTTCGGTACAGTTGCGTACAGTGTTAAATATATTCAATATTTATTCATTATTATTACCTATTATTGATTTTGTTTTTTTTTCCTAATGGATTTTAAGCACTAGTTTCTTTACCTACCTAAAATTTCTTTAGTCTTTTTAACTACCGAAGCTACAATCAACAGAAAATCTGCACTGGCTACGTTTCAAACGTTACCCCAGCAGGAAATGTTTTTTTGAAATAACTAAAAAAAAATAAGTGAAACAAATTTAAAAATGTGCCTAACAATGACAGAAGGGGGGCAACTAATTATCTATAACGTTTAAATGACCATTTTCGACATTATTTTGCTGGGGTAACGCACACCTCAAAGGCTTATTGTTAGATTATTTATACATGCAGACAAGTAGTATTATGGATACTATGCAGAGGCTATAGGTAGTTGTGTTATACGTATGTTTTTTTTTTTTATAAACTTTAATCACATTTGATTTACGTTTGTAGGCATTCCGCTCAATTTATAATAACCTAAGTACTTAAATGCTACAATTGAAATCTACAATTGGGTAGAAGGTACATTAAGTTGTTAAAATAAAATATATGTGTATAGTTATAAAACATTTTAATCGACTGTATACAAAAATAATTCACTACAATTTTCCACATCAAACAATACTTCATTTTCTATTTGATTTGGTTTACAAATTCTATACCAATCCATTAGTTCCTCAGCCATGTCTAGATAATCTAAAGTGTCTGACATACTTCGATTACTAACTAAATATGTTCCTTTTCTTATATGTTTCTTGAAAAAGTGCCATATTTCTTTTTGTTTCTCACTATCCACAAAAAAGTCTAGTACATTTATGATTATGATATCTGAGTTTGCTACAACATCACTTCTATCCAATACATCAGAATGGACAACCTTAATTCGGTTGGAATCCATTGTATATTGTTCAATTATACTTTGTTGAACATCACACCAATCTTTATTCATTTCTATTCCAACAATTGTGCCAGCATTTGAAAAATGATATGCCTGGAAAACACTACAACATTAATTTGTGTTTAAAATTATGTTATATTAAATAGAAACTAGTACATGTCAACCAATTCAATTTCAATTTTTATGATAGATGTAATAATTTGAATAAATTGGATTGTTGTTTAAAATTTGGATTTTTCCTGTTCTTCTAGCATGAGTTTGTGTGGGGATATTTAATTTCTTTCTCTAATATTAATAATCTGAAACCCGTCTGTTTTGTTTAAAGATCTATATAGAGCACTTTTTTAATTTGTTATGGAAGAGTGGAGAAACAAGCAGACTGTTAGATCTTAGCTATGATGTACTGAAAAATTTACAAAAATATCTTTCTGTGCTATTTATTATGATACAAAATTCTATTCAACATAAAAATGACAAATATACAAGGTTAGTCAATAGTTTGATTCTGTAATACAATGTTAACCTAATCTAGTGTATTACTTTTGGTTATTAATTTTGTTCAGTATATGTATACACATTTTAAGCACACTAAACTTCTTATTGTACACTGAAAGTACCTCTGCAATGTTCACACATTTAGGTGTTAGGAAAGCACAAAAAAACTTCTAGATATTGTCGATCATACAATAATACATACATAATATTTTGAGAATACAATAAGTAGCTATAAAATATTTACCCAGTAATTTACATATAAATGAACACAGTAAAACATTTACTTACTCCATAAAGTACCGCCCCAAGCCTAGACCCAACATCCATTATTTGTTTCTCTTCTAAATCACTCGGAAGAAGCACCTTGAAAATATATTGAAGCTGTTCTCTTGACATTGAGTGTGAAATATATGTCAAATCCTGGAAATAGTGTAAAAGTAGTACCATTAGCATTTTAAAAATAGAATATACCCTCAGATTTTACTTTGATTTAAAATTACTTAACACTGATAAAAGAAAATATACAACCTGCACATTGCGAGAACTACAATCTAAACAGTAACGCCTTTTTAATTTCCCACTTTTAACCAAATTTTCAACTTCATCTTCATCATAAAGAAATTCATCTACATGACAGGTATTTGTTTTGTTGCAATCAGCTTGATCGCTAACTGTTGGTGGTGAAATAGTTTCCGACGGCATTTCCGCCTCCAGAGGAACGATTTTTTTTATTGTATTTCCTATTTGTATTAATATTTTCTCAGAGCGTAGAAGTGACTTTTTCCTCTCCAAATCTATAGACATATGTTTTTAATAATTAAACGAAACAAAAATAAAATAGTCTTACAACACTCGTGTATTTTTGATAGATAACCTTTTTTATATGAAAGGCTGCTGATCCATTGCTCAATTGTATCCAGTTCACCAACGTCTAATTCTGAAAACAATTCTAACAAACGGCATTTAGTATTAAGAACACTGTCGTCAGTCATTGTTTCGAATACTAGCTCCTTCCTTCTGCTTTATTTATAAAAATAAAGACTAGACTAGACAGTTATTTTTTGTACTTGTCAGAGTTGTCAGACGTTCAAGTATGACGAATGGTGTTGCCGTTTTTAAGAAAATCTAAAACAACCGTAATGAGTTGCACGGTCACAAATATTTATTTATATTTTGCGGGTGATTCCTTATTAAGGGTTTCATGTAGGTATGTTATGCGTTATAATTGGAATTCTCGATCTTTGTTCATAAAGATTAAGACTTATACTGATGCATTTTTTGTTTTGTTTTATTTTCCATAGGAGTAGAAAATACAATACATTTGTTCTAGAATAGATCAGTAGAAAAAAAATCGATCCAAAAATAGGTCGACTTCCATTGCGAATAGTATATATAAATATATTAATTTAATACAAATAACCTTCTTTCTAAGGAGAGGCCTATGTCCAGCAGTGGACTATTAAAGGCTGTTGATGTGATGTGAATACAAATATTGGATGTGTATCGTCTTCTCTCCATGACCATTCGCAATTCAAAAATGAATCAACCAACCACTAATACTGAACAACAACAACTTCAACATATTTTTATGTTGCGGGTACTAGCTCAAGAAAATGAGCTCAATTTTAATTTCAGCAATGTCTCCAACATTTTTTTTGGTGTTACCCTGGTATTGCCGGTTTTAAGTATTTTGAGTGACATTTGGAAAAAAAACAGTTGCAGAGCTGGTAGCACTTCACTTTACCATTGACAGTTGCGCGGTGACAATATACGCGCTGTTGTCGCGTGTTATTGTTTTGTATATTCTTGGTTTATTGGAATTTCCTCGTAATTAATAAATATGTTTGATTTTATTATCCATTCAAGGTTACAAAAAAGTTGTTAAACACGCATTAAGTTCAGTTTCATTAGTTGCATATCTAGTTGACGCTATTTGGTGTAGTTCTTTTAGCCTTTATCAATTTATTTATTATTTAAAATGGAAAGTTATAAACTTTATAGCAAAACTATCGGTATATGGATGTCAGACAAAAAAAGCCAAAAACTAAATTGGAAAGAGTTAATAAGTGCTTGTGGTTTACATGGATACAATCTCATAAAAGTAAGTTATTTTTTGATTATTTGTCTGTAATCTGTAATTAATGTATCGAGAAATGACAAATGTGTTTTAAAAGTAATCAATAATCTATTAATTAATAATTTATGAAAGGCTTTAGTAGACCGTGTATTCATTTATTTATAATTTTAGTTGGATTTGGAGAAACCTTTAGAAGAACAAGGAAGAATAGATGTTTTTCTCCACAAATTAACTGACATCATTGCTGCAGCTGACCAAGGAGATTCAAAGGTATTGTTAGTCTGTTGTTCTTGTTGATCTGAGATGACTATGTTTGATATTTGACATCCACCACATGAGTCATATTTGTATGAAACATTTATAAAGCACAAAGTTACATCACCTTCATTAATATTGATATATTTAACAATTCACTTTTGCCTCCTAGTACTCCATTAAATAATAACTTGATTAATATTGTATTTAATAAACTATAATGGTTTATTGAAATAGATAAAAATCATTAGCTTAATTTTTTTTATTTGTAATATTATGACTCAATATAATATTATATCAATATGGTACAAATTCTGAAGGGCGCAACAAAGTCTTGTAATACATTAATATTCTATAATGTGTGCACATATGTTTTTGTTTTATTATTCATAATGTCGTAAGCTATTACTAGACACTTGTTTTAAAGAATACGCTTTAATGTACTTTCATGTACATTTTTAGAGAAGTCAACCAATTTGTCACATTATTTTATGATATATTGCTTTTAATTCATTCAATCTATCACAGAAAATATCAGATTTGTGAATTATTAGTGAGATAGAAAGAACATGTTTTTATCATAAAACTCTTTTGTCCTCCTATAGCAAAAAATTAATTTTTCAAAACCTGAATAATGTTAGCATTGTTTTTAATTACATTAACATTAAATTATGTACTGCTTCAATAAAAAGTAATTGTATAGTTAGTCACAGTTGAAAGCAAATCGGATACTGGCAATTGCTTGATTATTACTTGACATCTTAAATTACTGTAATGCAATTCATTAAGATTAAATTCTTGATTTTATAACAGGGCATTGAAAGATAGATTGTTCACTGCATGATTAAGCAGACGGCTATCCTGAAAGAGGTGGAAACATTCTTAAATTACTTTTATAACTGATTCATACACTTCCCGAAACAAGACCCTAAAAAGTGCTACAATTTAGGTCCATTTGTTCTGATGGGATATAGGTAATTTAGATGAGAACCGCTGAGAAAAGGAGGCAGTTGTTTGGTCTTGGTTATCTCCTCCTAATTCTTCGATCGAGGGGATCGTCATTGGTACTGGTCACAATCGTCATGCGAATATGCCGAGATGCAGATGCCTAGTCTACTTGCGAATCTCGATGTGGCCTTTTACGGAGGCAGAACTGAAAGAGGCAATCTATCCGTCCCAAGAACGCTATTCCCAAGCCAGATGGTGCTGTATTCCAAAGGGGCTGTTCTCGAACATAAGGTACGACTGGACCCCCCAAGAATTTACTCCCAGTCTGGGCGTTATCTTATATTCCCGTCACAGTCCAAGGATTGTATTTAAAAAACTTCGCTGTCGTCTCCCTGGGCTAGGGCGGATCGAATGCCCCCAACTGTATCCTCATGTTGTTGTCGTGGGCGGGCTTGCGCGGGTCAGTGATCTCTAAGGCTAGAGATGCCGGTAGAGCCGGCTTATGCCGGATTGGCTCAGAGTCTCCCCTCCAGACTAAGAACTATACTCGGTGGGACCCTTCTTAGGTCACCGATAGTTGCTCCACTGTCCAAAATCGAGGAACGACGACGGGCACGGTGAGCACTTACACTGTCACCGAGCAGGCTATGGGGACTGTGTCTCTTTGCAACCGTTGGCACATCGTAATCCCGAAAGGAGTGTCGTGGTTATGTCTCGCGACTCTAATCGGGGGCGAAGGTCTTGTCTTTGCCGTCTGGACTGCGAGGAGAAAAACCTCTTTAAAAAATTATTCCGAATCCCGTGTTCTAGTGCGTGGACAGGGGATGCATAGCTGATGGGTAGTTCAATCGCAAGCGCACTCCCAGCCGAGGACCCCTTACTTGGGCATAAACTCACGCTTGCCCGTTTATTGGCTGATCTCTGCCCGGGTCGACCTTTATTTCTCCCCCACTCGTGGAAACAATAATGGAAATGAACTGAACAAAAAATACACAAACACTGTCCCGTCAATCGATCGTTATCGAGTTCTGTCGTGTTGTTGAAGGGGAACTCCAGTACAGCGATCGGCGAGCCTGATTTGGAGCTGCTTGATATCACAGCCGACAGCCGGAAACGCGGTCGCTCCAGTGACGATGATGGAGACACGTCGCAGGAGTGGCTGCCTCCCAAAGTGGCTAGTAGCCGCAGAGGGAGGTTGCGCACTCCGGTCTCGGCTCCTTCAGGGTCCGTCTTTTCTAAGGCGGAAGCCTATAGACGAGTCAGGGTAGAGGGCGAGAATGTAGTGGAGGAGGAGACCGCAGATCGCCTGCAAAAAATCCATGAACCGATGGAAGGGGTTTCTGCAATTACAGGAGAGGGCGAACGCGGCTGTGGCAATTATAAACAAGGTGGCCACCAAATCGACGAACCTTAAGGGTCAATTTGTTAGGGCCCTTCAGGACTCCTCCTCCGCCATCTCTGGGGTCGTAGGCGAGTGCCTACGACCCAGAGATGGCGGAGGAGGAGCTTTGAGCCGCGCCACACCGGCAATAAGGGTTTAATTAATAATAAGGGTTTATTGCAGGTGTGGCTCGGCTCAAAGCTGCTAACGATCGATTGACGGGACAGGTGGCTGAGCTTAGCATTCAGTTCGCCCAATTACGATCGCAGGCCGATCGCCCTAAGCAGGGACCGGTTCCGCAGTGGCAGCCTGCCCCCACTCACGGTCCTGGGGACGTCTCTGACACCCACCTGCGCCAAATACTTGACGCAGTTGGGCGTATGTGAGACGGGCGTCTCGCGGATCTAGAAGCGATGCTGCCTCCAGCCCCCGTTGTTCGGCCTCCGCTTGCAGGGGACAGGGCGAAGACTCCGCTTCCTGTTGGAGGCAGCCGCGTGACGTATGCAGCGGTTACACAGAATGCTCTGCTGCCCCTCACTGCCCGGCGTGTTCGGCGGGTAATAAGCTAGCCAATCACCAGATAGGGCAGGGAGGCTGCAAGTTACGCTCAAATCGTCAGATTTTTTTTTAAAGATACACTAATATGCCTGTAATTGACTCAACTTACCTTAATCTTACACGCTCGAGTATTATTGGCCATCGATTTTTTTTAACTAATCTTATGGACTGCCCTAAACGATCTCCCTATATGTAGGGCTCATGTATGGTGGAGGTACTCAACTGGGTGGAAGGTATTCCTCCTATGTTAATCTGACACGCTACCCTACTATTGGTAGTATTTTTGGTAGTTTATTGGTAGTACGGCACGCTTCCCTAATATTGGTATGACATAGGACGTCTACTAATTAACAAAGACTTCATTAATCAGCAGTGAACGTCCTGTGATGTGTTTACTTCTCGAACTTGCTTTAGCAATTAGTTTTGTAAATTATCTCTCGTCAAAGGCAATCTTTGCTTGGCGAGGATTGATGACTACTCGAGAGTGGGTAACTCAACTCACATCAGAATTATTATAATAACTGGTTATCATAATTTAAAAACTTTAACCTTATAATAATATACATAATATAATAAACTTAAAATACGTTGCATTATAATGAGTCTATATTTAACTATTTTGTTGTAATTGTCACTGTTTTGTTACCAGGCATCAACCATAATTAATCAAGTGGAACAGTATTTGTCGAACCATCCAAACATTACAGTAATTGATCCATTGGATAACGTGAGAATTCTTTTGAATAGGTAAGTAACAGAATTTATAAATTTATTTAGGTATTTGTACTTTTAGATGTATGAATAACGACTTATATGAGTCAATAGAAACAGATTTTGACCACATACTACTCTGTCAAGAAAGTACCGGGAAAAAAATCACAAAATGTTTGTTATTCATCCAAATTAATTTTATCACCTTCAAAGTATGCTCCTTCAGAAACGATACACTTACGCCAACGAATAATCCAATCATCAAAACATTTCTTAAACGCTGTTGCCGAAATTGAGTTCAGTTCTCACCGCGAATTCTCCTTTATGTCTTCTACCGATTGAAAACGGGTGAAAAAATGGTATTTGTTGAGTGTTTGGTAAAAAATTCGTTCACAATGATAGCCTTGTGCGAAGGCGCATTATCGTGGTGGTTTTCTTTCTACAAATTTTCGGCCTTTTTCGTTAAATTTGCTCTCTTAAATGCCGCATAACGCTCAAATAATATTTTTTTATTTACCGTTTGACTTCCGGCAAGTATTCCGAGTGCACAACACCGCGATAGTCAAAGAAAACAGTCAACATGACTTTGACTTTTGATCGACTTTGGCGTGGTTTTTTCGGTTTCGGTTCAGTTAGAAGGCGCCACTCAGAAGCTTGTTGACTATTTGCATGTAAAACTCGTAAACCCACGTCTCTTCACCAGTGACAATGCGTTTCATGAATGTTGGGTCGGAATTGACTCGTTAAAGCATGTCCTCAGCGACTCTCATGCTTTTCAGAAAATTCAGGTCTTTGGGGACTAGCCGAGCGGTAACATGTTTTATACCCAAATGATTAGTTAAAATGGTACGGATCGACTCGTGAGATACAGAAAGTTCGGCGGCTATCTCTCTTAAAGTTGAATGAGGATTTTCAGTCACTATTTCAGTTGCAGACGTTGATGGTCTACCAGAGCAAGGCGGCAAATCTTCGATCACGTCTCAACCGCTTTTGAACGCTTTGTACCACTCATAAGCTCGTGTTTTTGATAAAGTCGATTCAAACCTTCTGTAACATTTTCAGTGACTCCGAACACGAAATTCCATTGGCGATGCAAAATTTAAGACAAACTCTTTGTTTGATGCTTTGTCCATTATGAAATTCGCAATACACTAGATATGATATAACTAAAAACAGCACTGAATTTAATATAAATAACAGATGCAATTCAAACTCCGCGCCGAAATGGAAAACTTTGTGACAATGATGATAGGTTATTAGCTACTACGTGTGCTGGTGCTCTCTGGGATCGGGTCTGATTTCTTATCATCAGATGTGTTAAAGCATAAGCATTCTCATAGTGGTAAAATATAATTCATTTGCTAATCTTGAGAAAGTACTTCGATCAGTTGAATTATATGTTGAGTCACGTGATTAGAATTGTGTGTTAGGAAAAGAAAAAGAACCATGAGATATTTTAGTTTTCTTAGGTAATGCATACATATAAATTCTTGAGAATTAAGAAAACATAAATCGTGTAAGTTGATTAGCAGCGCTCAAATACTTCAAATCAAATTTGATTTTCAGTTAAATTAGTTTCTCTATATTACACGTGAACATGGTACCTAATTACTGTAAAACTTGCATGAATAATAACTTGTGACGTTTTAATTTGTTTTCGTAAAATCATTTACTTTTAATGTTTGGTGAAACGATTAAAAACCGATAATTAACAACAAAATTATAACGAATCTAATATTACAAATTCTAATATATTTTATGAGAACTGTTAAATAACTTTATTGAAACCACCTTATTATGGCTTCAAAAATACAGATAAGATTTTTCGCTTTGTATTAAAAAATTTACCCAGGTCATTATTTAATTGTTACTTGAAATATTCTTCTCCCCTAGTATCCTATTTAAGCAAAGTTATAAATGCTTTATTCCTTACGTTATTGTTTGGCTTGTACTGATAGGGCTAATTATTATTACAGCAGGCTGGAATTTAATGGGTAGTATTTAACTGTTTACTATAAAATTATTCCTGTTGTCTTCCACAAACTGTTTCATTAAAAATACTGATTGTGCACTTAAAAATGTTTTCCAAATATTTTATAACGAGCATCTATTTAATGCCTGTTGCAAATCTGCAAAAATAAAAAAATATTCTTTCTACTAATTTTACTACCACCTTGCCACTGCTACTTTATTATTATTATTACGCTAGCGCAATAATCTTTAAAATTTTTTGATTGATTTTAATACCACATCTTTGTCCATGGCGAAAATCATTTCGTCAAATGAATATGATCTAAAAGTAGCAATAATTTTCATGTCTAAAAGACCATTCCGAAAGCGCCTAACTACTAATTCGGGTTTTAAGATACCCATTCTTCCTTGAAGTAAGTAACATAAGTTTTTTCGATATTGCTTAGGTAGTGTTGAACACATCTACTGCTGTGACAGCATGTAACATGTCATTATACAACACCTTTTGAAGTCATTTGTCTATTAATCTGGTTTTTCTTTTTGCCATGAGTCCAGTACATTTTGATTGTGGTTTTTAAATCCTTCCTTAAACGCATTTATCATTCATATGGTCAGGGGTGTCAATCTCAACTTCCGGGCCGAAAGTTGGGATTTGATACACGGGAATGCGACCCCGGCTTCCCGAGCTACTATTGTCGTCACCTCACCTATATTCCGAGACAATAGTATCCCATTATATTTATATCCTCTCTCGCAGTCACAATTATTCCTTTCCAATCCTACTCCTATTTACGTCTCTCCTAGGTCTGCGGACGCCTCCCGCATGAAATATAAAGTCTGTTCCGGCTTTGACGGCAATCCAAAGTTGATAAACAAATGGTTTTTTGGCTGATTTGGCGGAACAGCAAGGCATTGCAGAAGGCCAAGGGCGACAGCAGAGGTCAAAAGCGCTGTCGGTCAGATGCTGCATCTAAACTCTTCTCCGGTCGTAGCGATTCTCCGTTCCATCGGATACAGAAGGGTAAGGACGAGAGAGTGCATCTGTGTTTGCGCGCACGCTTATGCACTTAAATATATCCCGCGCAGATGACTGCGGCATGAATAAAGGCTCCCGAGAATAAGTCCTGTGGCGATGGGCAGAGGTAGAGAGGTCGGGTTGTGATGTGCACCCGGCTTTGTCTGATGCCTGCACACTGGCGGCTCTGGTATTGATGGTCGTTTCCACGTTGCATCAGGGACAACAGCGTGGATTGGGCAGCAGCCAGAATGACGGAGCAGCCCTATTTAGGGAGGCACTGCTTCCCCCGCATGGGGAGGGGACTAGAAAAGGTGTCCTAAACAAAGCTTGTTCCACATTTGCTGGGGGGTAGTAACCGCGGCTATCCGAGCATCCCATTTTTTTTCGTGGTCGAAAATACAAGAAAAATACAAAAACAACAATTATGACATTTGGTGCGTGGAATGTCCGCACCCTTCTCGATCGCGACGCTAACCTTTGTCCAGAACGGAAAACTGCTGTTGTGGCTAGAGAGCTTTCACGCTACAATGTGGACATAGCCGCTCTCAGCGAAACCCACTTGCCAGATGATGGCGAGCTTATGGAATACGGTGGTAGATATAAATGCTTCTGGAAAGGTACACCGGCTACAGAACCAAGACGCTCTGGTGTTGGATTTGCAATAAAGACCCAGATTGCTAGCAAACTGGAAGACTGTCCTGAATACATCTCAGACCGCGTAATATCATTGCGTCTGCATCTCGACAATGACAACTACTTGAACGTTATCAGCGCATATGCTCCAACAATGGACAAGGATGATGAAACTAAAGGTAAATTTTATGAAGACCTTACACGCTTGCTCACCAGGATACGCCCGAGAGAGCAGATTCTTCTGCTGGGCGACCTCAACGCTCGAGTAGGCTGTGATTATGAAGCGTGGCCAGGGGTCTTAGGAAGACATGGGATTGGCAGTATGAATAGTAATGGTTTATTATTGCTAGACCTGTGTGCTCAATTTGGCCTAACCATCACAAACACATGCTTCCGGCTACCAGCGAAATATAAAACCACCTGGATGCATCCGAGGTCGAAACATTGGCATCTAATTGACTACGCGATCGTTCGGCAAAAACATATCTCCCAAGTCCATGTCACACGCGCTATGCGTGGTGCTAACTGCTGGTCAGACCATCGACTTATAGTCACAAAACTGAAGCTTCGCTTGCATCCACCGCGCAGGTCTTGCGGATGGAAACCACCCAGCATTAATGTTGAGCGGCTTGTAGATAAAGAAACGCGGATGAAGTACCAACATATTCTTTCCGATAAGTTGCCATCTAACATCGACGTCGGTGATCTCAGTGCCAACTGGAGTGCCCTGACTTCTCAGATTATTGAAGTTGGAACGCAAGCCTTAGGCCTTAAAAAGCGTGTCCACCAAGACTGGTTTGACGAGAATGATGAGATACTAAGTAAAGCACTTAAACAACACCGCGACCTTCTATATCAGCAGCAACACGGTCGGACAGATATATCGGACAGAGTACGACAAAGTGGCTCTGATCTCAGAAAGATGACAAGGGAGATAAAAGACACGTGGTGGCTACAGAAAGCGGAACACCTGCAGTGGCTCTCTGATACAAACCAACTTGGTGCGTTTTTCGGCGAGCTGAGAACGGAACAACTCAGCGAAAAAGTGTACCGTTAAGGTCACGTGACGGCGCGACGCTGCTGGCGTCCAAGGAGCACGTGTTGAATCGGTGGGCTGAGTACTTTGCGGAACTACTTAATGTTGATCGGTCAGCTGATATTCAGCAGATAAAAGAGATCACATCTCTTCCGCAAAGACATGAGCTTGATGAGCCACCGTCATTGCAGGAAGTAATAGTAGCTATCAAGAATCAGCAAAGCGGGAAGGCGGTTGGCGTGGATGGTATTCCTGGTGAACTTTTGAAGTACGGGGGGGAGGGGCTATATGACATGATATGGAAACTTTTTACGCAGATGTGGCGTGACGAGCAAGTTCCATCTGACTTTAAGATCTCGCAAATCTGCTCACTATACAAGAATAAAGGTGACAGGTCCAGCTGTAATTCCTATCGTGGTATATCGCTGCTCTCTACGCCCGGAAAAGTCTTTGCCAGGATTTTGCTCAACCGTCTGACCTCAGTTTCGGAGGAAATACTTCCGGAATCCCAGTTTGGCTTCCGCCCTGAGAGAGGAACATGTGAAGATGTCTTCTGCGTGCGACAGCTGCAAGAGAAAAGTCGTGAACAAGGTCGACCATTGTTTCTCTGTTTTGTTGATTTAGAAAAGGCCTTTGACTGTGTTCCTCGTGGGGCCCTATGGATTTTTCTGGAGAAGGTGGGTTGCCCGGCGAAATTTGTCCGTCTGGTTCGCCTACTACACGATGGCTTGACATGCTGTGTGTCTGCAATTGGGGAACAATCAGGTTTCTTCCCCGTCACATGTGGGGTTAAGCAAAGGCTGTGTCCTTGCTCCCACACTATTTGCCATCTATTTTGCAGCTGTAGTGAACGAGACGCTACAAAGACGTACCTACAGGCGTCCGCATTCGCTTCCGAACTGATGGAAAGCTTTTCAATCTGGCTAGGTTGAAAGCCCGCACCAAGGTTTCGTACAAAATGATAACCGAAATTATGTACGCGGATGACTTATGCTTTTTAGCCGATTCCCCGACTTCTCTGCAACAGCTGATGACTGGTCTTGACGAAGCGTGCACCACTTTCGGCCTTAAGATAAATGTCAGCAAGACAGAAGTCATGACAACAGGCGTCTCAACAGATGAACCTCTGAAAAACTGTCTCGGTCAAGATGTCCTGAAGCGCGTAGAGAAGTACAAGTACCTGGGAAGCACAATAACATCACAGTGCGACCTTGATGCCGAAATAAACTGCAGAATCGGTGCTGCCTCGGCCTCTTTCGGTAAACTTAGAACTAAGGTCTTTCGTTCGCACGATCTAAAACTGGCTACAAAAATCACAGTTTACGGAGCTATTGTCCTACCAAGCCTGTTATATGGCTCAGAGACTTGGTGCCTTTACCGCAGACACATAAAGACTTTAGACCAATTTCATCTCCGATGTCTGCGGGATATCATGAACATCCACTGGACGGATCGCATCAGAAACACTGAGGTTCTTCGGCGTGCTAAGATCTGCGGGATTGAAGCATATATAATGCGACGTCAATTACGCTGGTGTGGTCACGTGTTCCGTATGCCAAATGAACGGATCGCCAAGTGCATCTTTTATAGCGAGCTTCAAGAGGGTAAGCGCAAGCATGGCGGACAGCTCCTGCGATACAAAGATGTGCTTAAAAGGCATATGAAAAGCTGCTATTGACCCCTTATCGTGGGAGTCATCTGCGGCAAACCGCCCGGAATGGAGACGTCTCGTAAGGCAAAAGATCGACGCCTTTGAAAGCTCACGTAAAGACGAGCTCGACACAAAAAGAGACGAGCTAAAAGCCAGACCACCGACAGCTTTAATTTACCACTATAGTGGCGGCGTTCTCACTTGTCCAAAATGCTCTAGAACTTTTAAGGCCAAAATTGGCTACAACAGCCATATGCGAGCACACCACCGCGCGGACCAACGAGACGCCATCTGCTGAGCCTGTCCAGCAGTCGCTGTAGCCGAAATCGGCTCGGAGAGATTATTATTATCATTCATAATTTACAAGCGATAATTTTTCTGTTGCTAAAAAACCATTTTCATTAAAACGACCAGATAGCCATAAATAACACGTGTACCTATATATAAATTTTAGTATTTATTTGGTATTTAAAACAAAACAACTTATTCAGAACGAGAATCCACGTGTATTAGAAATAACGTTGTACGATAAGCATTACCTGTTGTGTGACATTATATGACTAAAGTATTAAATATTATTAATTGTACACACCGTTTTAGACGTGGAAAACCGGTTCTAGGATACAAAATTAGTTATTTTGTTGAACTATCGAAATATTTGGGGCACAATAAGTATTTTAGTGAAAGATTATAAGAATATAGCTATAGCAATATTTGGATTTTTGCTGCGAAGTAAAGTAATAAAACTCGTGTTGGTCTGACATATGTTGTTGGGATTTTTTTATTTGTCGCAAAATACTTCGATGGTTTTATTAGAATTATTTAGAATGGCGTATATTATTATGTGTAACCTAAATGTTTGTTACACTGTTGTTACCTTGAAACAAACGCTATACAACCCGTCTGTCCAGCCAGCGAGCGTGGTATAGTAGGCCAAAACCTTCTTTCTCAGGAGAAGCCCATGTCCTATGTGAGGAGAGGTGTGTGAGTGGGCGACTAAAAACTTTTTATGATGATGATGTTGTCACCTCTAGAACGGGACGCTAAGAAGGTAATATTGCAAAAGGGATTATCAAGTGTATTTTTATTAAAGGCTTCATATTTATCTGTAAACGAAATTCATAAACAATTAATAAAATATAAAATGCCAGCGTTCTTCGGTTTCAGGTACTGTTACTACTCAATTTTACAAGATGAACCGTCATTTCACAAGCAGGGAATATTTACACCATCGTTTGCCGAGTTCACAACGAACAATATAGAAATGAATATAGAGATTATGAGACACAGAGGGGTGAAATTTCCAATCATTTGCAAGCCCACCATTGCTCATGGTTCTAAATCCGCTCATGATATGATTGTAATATTTAATGAAAAAGGGCTACACGTCTGTAAACCACCTTGTGTGGTCCAAACCTTTGTCAACCATAATGCAGTACTCCACAAAGTTTTCTTAATAGGCGACAGGTGAGTACACACGTTTTATTATTTAATGTTCCAGACAAATTCAAAGGTGATCTAAGCCCGCTTTCTAAGTTGGTGAATAGGCATTGGATGGATAATGGATTCTATCTGTTACACTTACGCTTTTCATTAATTTGAAATACAATATTCGAAGAATACCTGTTAAATAGACCAAGTTGAGTATTTTGCCTTGTTCTGTGTCGATTTCGCTGGGTTTGTAGACTAAGCAATAATAAAAAACGATAAGAGGGTAAAGAGGTGGAAGAACCGTGCTTCGGCAGAAATGGACTGGCTCGACTTCCGCTTCCGACTACAGCTTCACAGAAAACCGGTGTTAAGCATTTCATTCGTTGCTTTTCACTGAGTGAGTGAGGTTCATCATCTGATCTGATCATCATCGTCAATCATCAACAGTCTTTATTAGTCCACTGCTGGACACTGGCCTCTCCTTAGAAAGGATGTTTTGGCCTACTATACCACTTACCAGACGGGTTGGTATAGGGTTTGTTTTGAGGCGGCATGCCTGGCCACAAGGGGAGTCTCTGGTGGTCGAGCGCATTGAGGCGCTGGGCTTACGGGTGGCCCTGGACAAGTCCGAGGCCCTCTTATTTCATAGGCCCAGTCGTGGTCCTCCCCCTGGCGCCTCAATCGTCGTCAACTCGGTCCTCGTACCGGTTCAGGCCAAGATGAAGTATCTGGGCCTGATCTTCGACGGGAGGTGGCTCTTCGACGAGCACTTCCGACAGCTTGCTCCAAAGCTGGTCGGCGCTGCGTCCGCCCTTGGGCGACTTTTGCCTAATCTGGGTGGACCTAGCGTCGCAACGAGACGGCTGTACACGGGGGTTGTCTGGTCAATGTCACTGTACGGCGCAACGGTGTGATCAGCGGTTCTGACCAGTCAAAATAGAGCACGCCTTTGGCGTCCTCAGAGGGTATTGGCGGTTAGAGCCATACGTGGTTACCGCACCGTGTCGACGGAGGCAGCGTGCGCGTTGGCCGGAACTCCCCCGTGGGATTTAGAGGCGGAAGTGCTCGCCGAAGTATATCGGCGGAAGACTGAGTTCCGGGCGGTTAGCGGCAGTCACGATGGCTCGTTGGTCGTCATGGCGTGAGGCTCCACGCGCTGGTATTGCCGTCATGGAGGCGCTATAGCCGGTCATCGTTAAATGGGCAGGGCGGCAGCCAGGACCCTTTCCTTCCGACTAACGCAGGTCCTTTCCGGGCACGGCTGCTTCGGAAAGTACCTGCACTCGGTCGCTAGAAGGGAACTGAGTCCTGCCTACCCGAAGGTGGTGCCCGCGCCGTTGCGGGCAGGCGCTTGGAGGATGTCCGGATGTCTTAATAACAGCAGTTCCCGGATCCCTTCTATTACAGGCGCAGAGTGGCACACCGTGTGGTTTTAGTCGGTCCGATTCCAACATACCACCCCGCCGTAAACCCAGGTAGGGTGACGGCCTGAGGGGGTTTCCACACGTTAAAAAAAGGGTTTGTTTTAAGTTTTCCTTCTCTTTGCGTTAGGTTACCGTAGCACAAACCTTCCCAAACCCGTTGGGGATGAACGGACGCGAGGTTTCATATTGTTATATTATAGTTATAGTCCTTACAAGTTGAATCTAGGATAACATTCATTGCTCGTAAAGGTCGTTCATTTGGCCAGGCACTGACCTAATGGTAGGGAGATAGATATATTTTTGATGGATTATTATAATGTTATAAATATTTTAAGATTAATTAAAAAACATGACACTCATATAACTCTATTGGCCAATAGGTTTAGAATTGAGACATTGATTTAGAATTATGATTTAGGTCGCAATGACTTGTAACTTAATTATGTTTTCCCTTTTTTTTTTTGCAAAATATTGAAATTATTATATTTAATGTTAGTGTAGCGTATCATTGTGTCCTCGGCAAACCAGAGTCAAGACTTTGTCTTTTTAATATTTAGAATATGTTGCTGACCTTGTGTTTGGCTATGTATTTGTATAACTAGTTTTGAGTTAGGAAGTTGTCATTTAGTCAATGTTATTATTTTAGTGAATTTTTCTAGTTTTTTCCTACTAATATTTGTTGTATATATACATATTTAAAAATATAAGAGGATACTTAGGTAGGTTTAACCTGGTTGATAATGTACGGGTAATCCACCAAAAACTAAAACAGTGAAGTTTCTACCGAATACTGTTTTGAACTTGATAATTTTGTGTAAGCGGGATATTTACCAAGTTTATTATCGGGATTTAGTTCATCCGTGAACGTGGCCGAAATTTCTGAAATTAATTCCCGAAAATAAACATAATACCTAAATGAATGAAGCTATAAGTTTATCGCTGGCGGGAGCGAAAAAAGGAAGTTGAGTTATATGCCGTGGAAGTGGGTGCGAGGGGTATACCAGCCATCCCAAATCCCTCCATAACCTGCTTAAAGACCTTAGATTGCCAAGAGCTTCAGTATGCTCTTTTCTTGAACGAATATCCAAAGCGGTATTGCTAGACTCGTATCAAATATGGTTAGGTAGAGGGGGTAACACAGCAGACAGTGTAGGTGAGCGCTGACGCGTCGCAAGGAGTACTCCTTATACCTAAACCTGGGTCTCAAGTCACAAGCGCTGTCGAAGTTGCCTCATCTATCCCGCGATAGACCCGGCATCCGCATGGTGAATCATAAAATAGGGCCCATTTACAATAACTTATCAACTTTAATGATTATGGTAGTTTGAATCAATACCGTTTTAAATTATAAAAAGTGAATTTAATCGAATATAATATTACTATAGATAAATAAATATATTTGATTTCGTGACTATTGGATTGATTTGTAAATTTAATGTATAGTGTTATTACTATATACTTTTTTTTTTAATTTATAATATTATGAATTTTTGTTAAGTTTATCCATAAGAGTCACGAATAAGTGGCTAATGTAAGTTTATACATTTAGATGCTACAATTGACCGGCTTCCTTTATGTTTCCTTCCCAAATAAAGTATTTTACTTAAATAATACAATTCTACAAGAATAAGATCTTTTAGTATTCTATAGTATATATAATAATAGTAGGCCATAAAATATTCATAAATATAGGTATGTATTTTTCTATCTTCATCTCCAATCATAAGGATAGAAGTGTGGTACTGCAATAATTTTACCTGTCACCAAGCGTATCATTGTAGTTTACTACCAAGATGACGATCTGACCATGTAAGTAAAATAATATAGCGTTTTCATTAATTTATGCTCGACGTACTAAATTTTAAATATGTTGCTAATATATCATCGTATGATTATTAGGTACATAACTTTTTCTATTATCAGTAGCGAACCTGAAATGTAACATGTATGTTAATTAAAGATAATAAATTAATTAAAAACAAATAGCATGAACCAAATCTACTTTCCATTCAGATAAAATGTAAGTTTGGTTCATGCTATTTTTTTTATTTTTCTATACAATTTGCTCATAATTTGTGCAAATAATGTTAATTTTCTGATTGGTAACTTTCTTTATTGCACAAATTACCAAAAAGAAAATATTTGTGGCAATGTTTTAGTTTTAAGTTTCAATGATACCTAAGTTATAGTCGAACTGGTGGTGATGGATTAAGAATACAAAGTGTCATCACCCCTATTCATCCCGTGGGTGTTGTAAGAGGGAAAAAAACTACGCAGAACACCAGCACTGCAGAGAGAAGGAAACAGACACAAACCCTATACCAACCCGTCTGGCCAGCGTGGTATAGTAGGCCAACACCTTATTTCTAAGAAGAGGTCTATGTCCAGCAGTGGACTGTTAAAGACTGTTGATGATTGATGAGTCGAACTGAAGCTATCATTTTAAGTATTCGTAGCCTAAATCAGTTCAGTGCAGTTTTTCATTAACCGTTTCAAGCCATTTTCAGAACCTCTCTTAGTTAGGCTTAGATAAAAATGCCGTATGTGTTTCCCATCATGTTAAAAATAAAAAAAACGTGTGGCACTCGGGGACTGCCGCGGTAAAGCTATTGCATAGCATTTTGTATCAACTTATGCAATTATTTATTTATTTTATTTATGCAGTATTTCTTTTTCTTTGATATTAATTCAAGTTACACTTTTTGAGCTTGGTGACCGATAAGAAAACAATTTTTTTTCTTTTATTAAATAAAAATATTGAAGCATATATTCCGATTTGTTTTTAAATAAATAAATAAAAAATATTATTATTAAATCAAATTACATATCCATGTAAGATTTTTCTGCATTATGTTGACGAAATTTCCTTTGACGTTCAGCATTTGATTTTGGTACTGTTTTTTGTTTTGTTTTTAGCGTGAGGTTTTTTTCGTTACGGAATTTCTGGATTGGGTCCCCGCGCTCAAGGCCCTCGATAGAAGCTATGCAATAGCTTAAAAAGAACACTTTAATATAATGTTTGAAGATCATACATTTCGTAGATCTAGGACTCACCAAATGGAAATCATGAAAGATCGATTTCTACGGTTAGGAATAATTCTAAATGACTTAGAACAATTTAGTACAGTATTTTCATTCGTATTATTTTGTCACTTAGGCATGTACTAAAAGTTCTTTTGATTTATACTATTTTTTAATAGAACTAAAATAATTATTTAGGTTACACATTCAGTTAATTTAAAGTTTCACTATCGATGGCAACTCATAGGTCTTTTTTTCTCTTTTTCATAAGCTCAATTCCTAACTAACGCTGTATTATTTTAAAAGCTTAATGTTTAAATTTATTATTTTAAGGAAGTCTCGACCACACACGTTATATATCTTTAAATTAGTATAAATTTAAAATATTTTTGTTGTGACCCTGTGTAAATATTCAATGTTATTGGCAATGTTCGTTCTTTATATTAACTAAATCAAGGGGCAAGTAGTTTTTGTTTGCATTTTATTAGTAAGTATTTGAGGTAAATGGTCACAAGTATCAGCCTGACTAACTGAGTAACAAAGGCCACATTACTATGACAAACTACAATTCGATAAAGGTCGGGAAATCAA